TTGTATCCAATCTTTACTAAAAAAAAAAAAAAAAGTAAGAGGACATATATAATTTTTTTTTGTCCAAAAGATTTCGCAACGACTCAGCCAGCCGCTGAATAAGCGTGGGGGGGGGGGGGGGGGGGGGTAAAAGGACATATATATAATTTTTTTTTTGGCCCCAAAATTTGAAAATTTGCCGAATCGACATTTCGTTCCGTTGGGGGGGGGGGGGGGGTTATGGTCACCTTTTTAAGTCACCCATTGGAATAATTTTTGTTTACCCCACCCCCCCCCCCCCCCGTGTACGCGCCTGTGTGTACCTTTCCTTATGTTTCCCCATTTCTCATTTTCTATTATTTTACGTTATTGAATATACATATTTTTTTTTTTTCTTATTTTATCTTTCCTTATTTATTTTTAATTCTTCTTTTATATTTTCTGTCAATGTTTTGGGAAAATTAACACAAAATCAGCTATTCCTTATGTAAGAGGTTAAACTAGTTATTCTTTAGTCATACTAATTGTTTTCCTCTCATTTCCATTTTCTGTTCATGACTTTCAACCAGCCCACGACTCCTTTATTCATAGTGTATCATTATTTAGGACATTATATAACCCCGACTCATCCTCATCCCATGTCATTCATATTGGTTTACCTTACACCCATGATCCTTCTTCTTTCTTTCTGTATTAGTCCTTATGTTGGTTACTTTGCCCTTTAATATGTACATATGCAAATACATGTATGTTATAAAAGTTATACCCAGAGAATTCTGCTGTGCAGGCAAATAAATTAGAGGACTATTAGACTTCTTCGTGTCGACATCTTTCATTTTGAGTTTTTATTGAGCTACATAATCTTTATGTTCTTCATATAATTGATTTGGTGCTTTCACTGGCTGTTTCTTTGGTTGATTTCGATTCGTTTGTGATTGATTTGATTGATTTTTGTAACGCTAAATTGCACATGATAAATTCAAATGATTAATTGCTTTACAGGTAATGCAAAATATTCTTGTAAGCTCAACTACAAGAGCATGTAAAAAGAAAACCAAAATCTATTTAAACATAGAGAGAATCGATCAAAGTAGAAAAAAATCTGATTTCTTTTTTAAAAATCAGAATTTTGTACAACCCTCAAATCCTTTGTTTCGCATTTCATTAATTTAGGCAAATTAGCCATTTTGATACGCATAAGGCCATTGTGATCTTTCCTGATTCACTACTGGAGGCCTGTACAACTAGTCGTGCAAAACAATACCCAATCAATACACAATATTTGAACCTCATAATATTTTGTTACGCAAAAATAACTAGCTTCTTCCTTTCAAAGAAAAATTAGTTAACTGCTAAATGCAAAACATCTTCGTGTTTCCCGCCCGGCCCCCCCACTCAGGTTTCAAAATGACCGCATGCGTGTTGCCAAAATGTCCTTTTCGTAACAAAAGAAAAAGGTCGAGCCGTATTGACTTTACACACCGGACTTTTGCTGAAAAGGGGGGGATGCTGAAAAAGGCTCGTATACAAAAGAAAAAGGTCGAGCCGTATTGACTTTACACACCGGACTTTTGCTGAAAAGGGGGGGTCGGTTGGAACACGCATATGCGTACCCTAAATAACACTGAGTGGGGGGGCCGGGGTTTCCCGCTACGCAAACAAGTTTTAAACGCACTCAAAAATACACCCAAAACCACACAAAAAAATCCCCCAAATCAAACGACACTTCCCCAAACCCTGTGTAGGACACATTTATTTTCATTTAAGCACATGATGGTCCAAGTGTATACAATCCGCATACATTTAATTTTATTACTTAAATATTACTTATATTATGGGATTCACCTTTTGAAATATCCAGATTTGGGAATTGGGCTACTAAGCCATTGCTAAGCCATTGCTTCTTTGGCGTCTGTTTTGGCCTATATAAAGAATGCAAAAGCTAACTAAATGATCAGCAGGCACGTAGCCACGGGGGGGGGGGCACGTGCCCTTAAACGATTACATGTGCCCCCCCCCCCCAAAAAAAAAAAAAAAAAAAAAAAAAAATCAAACTCTGGCTACGTGCCTGATGATCAGTGAAAGTCTACGTACATATTCAATGATCAAGCAGAAACTATGTCAACTGTCATCAAAGTTTGAACATTTTGTTTTAATATCATTAATTTCTGCAGTTATAAACAACTTGAAGGTAAATAGCATGATGCACATGCATAAACACTGTTTTTCTGTTTTACAATATCAATTTTATGACTCCCAAATTTTGCAATTACAGTGTGTGCTTTATAGATCGAGGGCCTACAATTTAACCAAAACATGTTATTTTGCAGCGGTATAATCACAACAGATTACCTGAATTATCACATTACCTAAATCCAAAATTTTAGAGCTAGCACCAATGATTTAACACGGGCGCTATCATTATTTTAAATATAACTAGCGCGAAGGAGCGAGCCGTTCTACGCAAAATAAAATAAAAACAATGATTTGACCGTGTTACATCAGAAAACAGATGCACAAATTGGTCTGAAAACAGTACCGGTATTCTCATTCTTTAACAGCTCTGCAAATAGTATATTTTATGAACATAAAATCAATATAATGCGTAAATTCAAACTACATTTCATTGCTTAATTTTACTTCCAAAATGAATCGGCGAGCCCGATTCATGATTTACGCAGGGTAAATCATGCACAACACTAATAGTGGTAGGCTAAAAACAATTCGATCGTCACTTTTGAGATTTTCAACACCCAGTTTGATAGTCCAAACGTTGAAATATCACTCTGAAAAATCTACGCAACATCGGTAGATAGTCACATATCAAAATTAAAACAAAAATACATAATGATGTTACATGAAACTAATCATATTAATCGGATTGTAACCAGCCTTTTATGACACTAACCGTTTTCAACGACGGCGACCGGCGAAAAGAGAACGAACGTGCATGGCGCGCGCACTGCTAGTATGCCGACTTCGAAAGACTTTCGACCAATCAAATTCCTCAATATCGCTTTCGTAGTTGTAATGAGTCTTCGATTCAGCCTGCCCTTCGTCTTTCGTAGTTTTGATCGCATATCAAAATATTAATAAGTTGTTTATTCAAGATGATGAGAAATCTACTCAAACTAATGAGTCTCGAGTTCAAAAATATTTGAATAGGCTTTCTATTTATTAAAAAAAATGAATAGGCACATTGGAAGTCCACCCTGATTAAGTTGGTTTTAAAAACAAGCAGAAAATGAGAGAAACAGGTCATACATACATACATTCATATTGATATTTATATAGCGCTTTACATTAGTAAATAAAACAGAACAATTATTTTGCTCTCCAAATGCATACACTGTTACTTTGATGTGTAAAGCTGTGTAATGTAGGATAATCAAAAAAAGTTGTGAGCACTGACTTTTCTTGTTCTTTTTTGCCCCCGGAAATTTGAAAATCGCGTGGCGATATTTCGCTCGGTGGGGGGGGGGGGGGGGGGGGGGGGGGGGGCAACAACAAAAAAGGTAAATTTCTGATAACAATTTTTTTTTTTTTATGGCCCGTCCGGGGGCGGGGCAATGCCCGCTCGTCCTCCCCCCTGGATCCACGCCTGGGCTGCACGAAAGTTTGAATGTTTGAGCAAAACCTATACAAAAAATAAGAAAGTTGTGACTTGTAAAGGTACGATCAGTTCAAATCTCAGTGACGTTTCTTTCAAGGTCCCCTCCCATTTGCCCATGTATACTAAACAAAACTTTAAAATATTTTCCCGTAAGAAATATTTGAAAATTGTTCCGTGGGCATATTTCCAGTTGAACGAGTCGACACCAATTAAATTGCATAATGATATGGGGTGCGTGCATTTCTATGATTTTATACAATTTATCTGAACTTACAACCCCGCCCCCCCCCCCCCAACTCAGTGTTATTTAGGGTACGCGTATGCTTGTTCCCTCTTTTTGAAAGCACCTCCTATCATGAGGACTGCCAACATTTCCGAATCCCCCTTTCGCGGGCTTTTCGCGGGCTTTTCCTGCCTTGGAGACCCCCTTAATCCGGAAAAATGCTCAATGTACCCCCCCTAAATTCGGAATATTTTCTCAGGAGTCCAAAGAGATGAGAGAAAAAAAAGAAAAAAACACCCCATTTTAAAAAAAATCTCCGGGTGAAAAGTTAATACACCCCCTTTGTTTACAATTCTCGGGCCGGACTTTGTCGCACGAAAAGTACCCCTTTACCGGACATTTTGGTAACACGCATGGGGTCCGTCCGTTCTCGGAGTGGGGGGGGGGGCGGGCTTACAACATATATTAATCACTGGTGATTTAGTTGTATGCAATTCATTTTTGAAAATACTACAAAATATAAATTGCCAATTATCGGACATTTCACTACTTTGTATAAATTACTTTTATAAGGGCAACATTGATGGGATAGTTGAGTTCTGTTGCAGAGGGCGCTACACAAAGTATTTTTTTGTGAGATAATGAAAAACTGAGTTTCAAATTGAAATAACATACAATTTAAATGACAAAATCATCTTTGATTGATCGAAAAAGCCACGCTTCAGAGACGGCTAAAATATACATAAATATAACGGTTTATAATATTTGTGTACCACCACAACATAATGTTCGAACCCCCCCCCCTCAAATTTTGTTTTGTGTGTGTTTTGGAGAACCCCGCCCCCGGGCCCCATCAAGTTATTGATGAGGTTTAATGACCCACAAAAAGGGCACTAATGATCGACACGGTTTTGATCCTATAGAGCCTCACAGTTACGAGGCCAAATTTGCCACTGACTGTACACATGCAGCGGGGGCTAGGGAATTTTAGTTCGTTGGGCTATAGGGTAGGGAGCAGTTCCCACAAATAAATAAAAAAACCAAAGAAAATGCAATGAATTAACAATAATTCATTGAATCCCCCCCCCCCCCGAACACCGAACATCAATTATATCAATTTTCTTCTTTGAAAGTTTTCCGGATGTTCCGACATCATGACCGCTGATCACTGGCTGCAGATCGCTAAACAACTTCAAATTGGCAATTTCAGCTATTACGCAAGATTTGTCTACTGCTACAGTGCTATTCCCAAAACAAAACAGTTTATTTTGTAGACAAAGGCACATTCAAGATATTCAACGATGGTTTATGCATTGGTGCAAGGAGCAAGCAGAGGGATAGGATTGCAGTTTTGTCGACATTTGCTGAATAAACGGCCTGCGACACTTGTGATTGCAACTTGTCGACAGCCGGACGGTGCAGCGGAGTTGCAAGCACTTCAGAAAGAGCATCCGAACAGTCTCCAGGTACCGTACGCGTAGTATATCTCCCGCCTGACCTCGGGGCGGCCTAGCTCTCAGTGCAGTGCAGGCCTTACCTCGATCTCGATTAGAATGATTTTATAATTATTTGTTGCACTCAGGGCCGTCACTAGAAGGGGGGGAGGGGGTGTCCAGAGCCGTATCCCCCCTCATCTAGTATCAGCAGATCAGGATATCCAAATTGTCGGTAGAACTGCCCTGCTGTCAGGAAAAATGAGAACAAGAGGAGGGAAATAAAGAGAGGGAAAGAAAAAGGAAAGGAAAAGAAAAAAAAAAAACAGTTAAGAAAGGAAATCAAGAGAAAAAAAGAAAGAAAGAGAAAAAGAATTCTTTTGTTTCTTTATACAACTATTTAATGTCAATTTTCTTATCTTTTTTTTGGAGTATTTTTCCTCAAAACGAAGTAACCGGGTATTATGGCCTATTGCATACGGCTGCGCTTGTTCAGAAACCTATCCAAAATTCGACCTGTAACTCTGGCGTGGAGATACCCTACTAAAACATACCCAAAATGAAGTAAATATTCATTAAATGTCAAAAAAAAGACCATGAGTTAAAAGTAGATATGTATATTAGTTATTACCTGTTTCGTGTCAATTTTCTTATTATTTTTGGAGTATTTAAAAAAAAAACATTGATATTAGTATAGGGCAGCGCGCCTAGTATTAGGTCCATTCCCAGTATTCGGTCATACAGCTGTTTCAACAGCTGTAACAATTTAAAAAATAATTAATGAGCCGCGAAACTTGCACAAATCAGGCAGCTGAACAACTTTTCTTAACTCTCAAAATTAAATCAGATATGGGCCTCGGAAAGATCTCCAACTTAGCTCGGAATTGGTCAGTGTCGCACAACTTTCTGCACTTCCGCGTTCTGTTAGCACATGCGCTAACATGCATAGCCATATGTAGAAGTCTATTGCGAAACAACTACGTGTGCTGTCGCAATGAATTTAGTATGTGTTTGAAGAGGAGCTCTTCTGTTTTCGCTCCATCGCAGCGAATTTGCAAATGACGCACTTGCCGATATGCAAGAGGTATTTATACGATACCCTTGCCATGCGGTAGCGCTCATCCAGTATTCGGTCAATGCATTGACAATCAGTGCTTTATCGCGCAATTGTGTGAAAATAGTGCGCAAATACGCTTCGCTCCTTGGCAACGGAGATACCACGCACAAATCGCGTGACCGAATTCTAATCGGCGCGACCGAATTCTGGGCAGAAAAATGCTCCGTCTTCTTTCAGAAATATTTTTCTTATCATTCTTTATTTTAAGTGACTATAAAATCCTGTTAGAGGGATAACTTTCTTTTCTTTTGATGGGTAGATTGCCAAATAAAAGAGGTAAGAATTCAAAATATTAGTGATTTCCCCTAAGTGACCGAATACTGGGCACTCTACACTTTTTCACAGGTTTCACGGCAAACCGCTGCACAATACAAGTGCATACCGATGGTGGGTTGCGGGCGGGCGCGCGCCTGTGTGAAGTTACCTACCGTTACAATGAGTTACAGTCAAAATTTGGAAATGATTCTAAACTAACGCCGAATTAACTGCCGTAATAGTCAGCAAAAATGAGATGAAATACTATACTGAAAAATCATTCAAGTCTATTTCATTTGGGGGTATTTTCCACCGAGACCACTTCTAAATTCGCCAAATCCCCCTCTCCTTGGAGCACCTAGGAGAGCATCAAATTCAAAAGTCAAATGATGTTTAAAACTCCTCCAAGCAGTCAGATTTTTCTTTTTAGGAATTAAAAGATGATGAAACTATGTTGTTTCCACATTTTCTTCAGTTGAATTTCCATCATCTTGATGAGAATTTTGACTGGGACGTCACTCCTTTGAAATGCTAGCAGGCATTTTTTGAAGGCAGGCCAAGCCATAGAGATTTAACATGTGCACAGTTATATAAATATATAGGTAATCTTGGCATGTGCTAGTAGGTTTTGGATGAAGATAAATACATATGCTACCCTGCTAAATAATGATCTTTAGCCGTACGTAGGACATGAAAATATCAGAAGTAAGGATAAAAGCTAGAATCACACTATTTTTGTTTTCTTCTCTTAAATCTTTAACTATACACAGATCATGCAGTTAGATGTGTCAAACGAGGAGCAGATTGCATCAACAGCCCAGCAAGTTAAACAGCGTCTCCATGGCAACGAGAGTTCTAGCAAAGGACTGGACCTACTTATCAATTGTGCAGGGATGTTACATCCATCAGGGAGAGGAGAGACCAGTCTTAGAGCTGTATCACATGAGGTATTATATGACTTCATCAACATTAGCTATAGTATACAAAAAAAAGGAAAACGTCATATCTGGCACACATTGCAGCATTAGTATACTTTTTGTGTATTAAAAACTGTTCAGACATCCTCTATTGATTCTCAACATTTCAAACCCCACTCTACAAAACTGAGTTCCCTAAAATTCTATACGGGTACTTTCATGATGATTGATGACACCTACATGTAAATAGCAGTAAAATATACAATCTTTTAAACTTACCGATGTAAGAAAAAATTCTTTGAAAGGTTAAATCTTGATTCTACTTTCAAACTTGCTGATCAGCCCCTTCGTATTCATTGTTCACATTTTTGTTGTCGGCGTGCTGGTGCGGGAATGCGCTGAATCTTGTATAGAAACTCAGTGCTCAGACTCCCTAAAAAGCAGTCTGTTTTGACCGATTGATATTTTTTACCATGAATAAATTAATACGATACAATACAAATTCGAGCTTCAAATTCACATTTGTGTACACAGGGTCTGATGACAACATTTGCCACCAATGCATTGGGTCCTCTGCTGATGGCCAAGTACTTTGGGGAGCATCTGACCAAGGGGAGCGGAGAATTTGGACAGTCGCCATCGGAAGGTCACTCTGGCACACTGGTCAACATGTCTGCCAGAGTTGGTTCAATATCAGATAATGGTTAGGGAGTGTCCTCATACCTTCAATTGTTGTTGTTGTTGAAGGGATAAGTTCTAGTGATGAAGGGAAGGAATATAAACCCAGAATCTAATGGAATCTACTTGTACTTATATCTGCGAATCATTTTGAATTTTAAACTATTTTACCGATTGTTTAAAAAACAAATACTGAATAAATAAGTGAATGTCTAGCTAAAGTGTAAATAGATGAATAATTCAACAATTAAATGAATGAATAAGTAAATAGATGAATGAAATAATAAACAAGAATGTATGAATGAATAAATAAATGAATAAATAAATGAATAAAGAAACAAGTGATTAAAATCATGAACAAATGATGCATGTTACAAACAATATCTGTTGATAGAGAAAAAGATGGAGACCCTTAGTTTGCTAGAACTACAGTACAAACTACATGTTACAGAAAATTTCAGTTTATTTTCATTACCTCTTTTGATTAGGGTATGGTGGATGGTACAGCTACCGCATGTCAAAGAGCGCCCTCAACATGGCAACCAAGAACCTGAGCATCGAGTTCTCCCGGGGGAGACGGAAGGTGGTATGCATCAGCCTTCACCCGGGGACGGTGAACACCGACCTCTCACGACCTTACCACAAGAATGTCGCAGAGGACAAGCTCTTCACACCCGAGTATTCGGTCGAGAGGATGATGGAGGTGATAGAGAATCTGAACGTTGAAGATTCAGGGAAGTTCTTGGACTTTGCGGGCAAGGAGATCCCCTTCTGACGGATGACGAAGCAGTGTTTCTTTAAAAAGAAAAATTTACTCTATATATGCCCAGGATCGAAACCTGAGACTGCCACATTGTATTTACACTAGACATGGGACAGAAGCTGCCTCTTGCAATCCAGCGTGTGTTTCGTTTGTAGACCAAAGCAGAAAAAGAGTTCAAGGTATCCTTGTGTAATTTTCTGTGGGCATAGCCTGTTCTGATTAGTTGAAGTTTTTTCAAAAGTCAGATAAAGAAACGTACAATACATAATCATTGATAGCAAAAGGAGCATACAGATTACATGAAGTAACGTTGTATGAAGAAACTACTGTTGAAGAGGACAATTGGCATTATAGCTGGGCAATCATCGGTGCATGCTCAAGATGAGTTCCGTCCAGTTATATTATTTTTGTACAATACGATGTTGAGACTAGCATGGGACCCTGATTCTTTTATCGTTTTTTGTTTATTTGGAATGTTTCTGAAACGTGTTTCGCCATACATCCTTCAGACTACAAAAAAATTAACTACCTGTTGTCTGAACACATGGTTAGTTGAACTTGACAGGATAGAATTTCCATTGAATGGGTGTATAGTCTCACATGCATGTAAAGCGTCAATTTAGAGCATAACCTCACTTAAAGGAAGAAAATCTGGACTTGGCCCTCTACAGAGTATGGAAATGAAGGCTTGTGTGAGCCAGTCCCTTGCACATTTTTGGAGACAAGATGTGATGTTATGACATCCAGCCATGCAATTGATGACAGATTATGTATTTTTCATTTATACGGTGAAGGAAAGGGTGGTTTATCATATGGTATACATGTAGAGGTGTTGTGGTCAAGTCTCTGGACAGTGAAGCACAAGGTATGGGGTTTGAATTCCTGGCGCAGCACTAATGTCTTTTTGCAAGAAATTAATCTACATTTGCCACACTCGACCCAGGTGAGGTAGATAGGTACCTGGCAGGAATAAGTTCCTTAAAAATGCTCAAGCTCTGTAATGGGAACTGTACTAAAGCCAGGGTAATAATGATTAATGCTTTAGGAGACTTCACTGTCGTCTATTATTATTAATATACATGTACATTCAGGTAATGAACATAGTCAAAAGTAATATGTCTACCACCAGAGGAGGAACACTCACAGCCAGTGTTGCCTCCCTCCCCACTGTAGTTCTTGCCCGCATTGTGACCCTCCCCCCTATATTTAAGAATCCTGGTACTGCCACTGTTCAGGACATACATGTACATGTAAAGTCAAACCTGCTGTAGGGTCTGCTGGTATAGACTGATCACCTGTAAAGAAAGACCACCTGTCTCTCAAGTATAAATTTGTGTCACCTTTGAACAGTCACTGGAACCTGATATAAATTTCCCTCGTCTATAAAGACCACCTTTCTTGTTTCTCTTGAGCGGTGAGAAGTCTTTATATAGTTTCACTTTACAAGGTAATGGTAATACACACAAAAAGTGTCAAGGCAAAATGTGCAATAATTGTGCCATATCAGTATTTGGAGCAGTTAGTAAATCATGTCTATCCGATGTTAGATGAAGAAACCACTATCATTTTTTGTATTATTGGAATTTTCTCATGTTTATTCCAACAGAGAAAGATCACGAAGAATCAATGTGTTTTGTAGAAGTTAATGTAAAATTGTGATTGAGAAATCTTTCAAGAATGATTCAAAGCAGATACAAATTTTGTTCAACAAACCAAAATAATAAAGTGATCAAGTAATTTTTTCAGCCTGGAAGAAAAAAATTATTTATTCTATGAATCTTGCAAGGCTTTGTTAGAGTACTAGTGTTAATAATCATGATAACAAAATTTGTGTTGGTGAAAACGACTTTCAGAGTAAATAAATGTAGGCTAAATGTAGGCTATTCGAATACCTGTACCTTCAGTAATGTGGACATGTGTGTGATTTAACTTCTTCATGTTATACTTAGTTTTCTTGATAAGAAATGTATTTTTTGCATTGTAAATATAATCATATCTTCCAGGTATACATTATTAATTAAAGATGTTATTGTAAAATTATGTTATGTTTACCAATGTTTTGTATTCATTATTACAATAAGGATTTCAATAGATTTAATGGTTGACATTAAAGTGTAAGGAGTGTAATCATTTTTTTCTGAATGTCTTGTCGACACAGGATTGGATGCCTTCCTTTTGAAGCAAATGTAATAGAATAATTTTCTTTTGACTTGCACAGACATGTGCCCTCTGCCCCCCTCCCTCCCAAATGTTCATTGGCTAGTTATAAATGGTACCACCTTGCTTTAATAGAAACTAGTCTTTCGAAAGTTCTCTCGCAACATTTTCTCACACCCTCAAATTTTGGTTGGTATTGCTTAAATATCTGTGATGCTTTTGTGAGCAAGTACATAACACAATTACCTTAGCTTCCTTTACTCAACACTTTACCTTTCAAATATAAATCTACAGCAAATCAAATCACAGAAAGAAATTCAGAACAGACGAGGCTCTTGTTTCAAAGATTTAATTGAAACATGGATGGCAGAGATCAGAGTTTAGAAAACATAAACCCGTCACGGTCAACAATTAGTTTTCAATTGTGATAGAAACTTCTTGACATAATGCAATGATAAATAGGAGGCTGTACTTTGGGAGGGAAAATAGTAGTTTTAAGAACATTTTGAACACTATTTTAAATAATGTACAGAAGATAATAATACAAAGAGTGGTGCGGATGAAAACTAAAATTGTATCAAAATATGTGAAAAGCCTAGGGGCAGTATTGGGAATGAACATAATACCAAATATCAGGCTCAAAATATTTCAATACACAATAAATAAGGAATAAAGAACTGTACTTTCGACAAAGGAAAAACAACAAAAGCAATGAGAGACTAGTCATTGCATACCTGAATTTGATTGAGGGACTAGGCTTAAATACTACATGAAATTTACATGTATTTGGGGACATTCCCTACCATTCTTACATGAAAATTAAAAAACACAGGATATTCAAACTATCCTACATACGGTCATTGACATAGTGAAGGAAAACAATTTACAAAATGAACATTCAGAGTTAAAATCTACTCCCATTTCCTTTTAAAATAAATGGTATTGCTTCATGATTTGATTCGTTCTTCCCATTTCCATAAATTATGCTATTAACAATAAATCAGGTATCTTGATTAGATGGTTCCATTAAAAGAAAAGGAATTTTTAAAAATGGAGACAAATCCATGGTAATTACATTGGAAGGGATAATCATATAAACACAAAGAAGGGGGACAAAACATCAACCATTTTGCTTCTCTTTTTCTTCAAATTGAGGATGAGAAAGATATGTCAACAATCAATCTATTCCTTTGTGATATCATGAATTATATTCCACATACTAAGAATCTTGCTCTATGATTGGTCAAAAGTAAATCACGTGATAAAAGATAGTTCGCCCATTATTAATGGGAGAAGCAAAAAGTTTGTTACACTGTGTTGATAGTACTACTATCTACAAAGGGCAACGCACTTTCACTGAAGATTATCCAAAAGCGCACTAAAACAGGCGTAATTAAGCGCGCATTACCAATGAGTGCAAGTAAAACAAACACATACGCGCACCGTACCCTCAAGGGGTTGGTTAGGTTAAACTGTTAAACTTTTTTGGTGTGAATTTGGGCATGGTGTCTTTTATGTAGATGCATACACGTCCTTTTCTTTTTGTAGTTAAATTGTTTTAGATGTGGAATATAAAGCAAATAATCACCTTTTGGTTTCAGGGGATGGCAAACTATCACTTCCTCTTCGATCAGAATGTATACGCTATCTTTCCTCAGCTTCGCTTCGGAAAGATAGCTATATCCAGATCGCCTCGGAAGTGATAGTTTGTCCCATCACCTTCACCAACGGTAGTTATTTGCTTACTACATTTCTGACCTCACTTCAAATGCTAAGGTTGTGAAGCTCCTTATTATTGCTACATGTTGCTAGGAAATTAAATATAGTACATCTCTTTCATACATATCATACAACAAAGGTAATAGAACAATTAAAAAAACAGATTAATTCTCTGACTTTTAGCCATAAAAGCCTGCCATTTCTTGTTATGTACATTCTGGAATAATAACAATTCGCTTCTGAAATAAAGCAAACAATTCTCTGGTGAAACAAGACTGAATACTCATAGGGTGTTTGAGGGAAACGGGAGGAAATGGAAGAACATAGAATGATTTGTATTCTATCAAATATCTATAACCCCAATGAGGGGGTTCAAGCTTGGTCTAAAAGTGAGTTAAACAACCCTTTTGCAATGATCATTCATTTTTTGTAGTTTGGATCAATAACTTTTGATTCAGAGCCTAAACAATTATGCCTTGAGCAGAAATGGAAAAGATTTCTGCACAAAAAATTTCAAAAAGTAAAATCAGCTTTGCTTTAAAATCCTTAAATGGGGAACATGTTGAAAGATTCAAAATCATTGTTTTTCTATCAAAATTTGCAGGTTTTTCAACTTTTCTACGTTTTCCCACGTGTGTATTGTTGTCAGAGATATCACATGTCATTTGAACAATGTAGCAATAAAAAAAAAGTACCACTGTTGCCAATTTGAAGAACAATATGCGATCAATTTGGCCCTATATGTAAATCTTGTTCTGAAAGTGTTTTTTTAAGGAAGTTAGACTGAGATCTTTGTTATATATTTGTTCACCGTATCTTAGTCGTAAAACCAGGTGCAACAGAAAGAGAAGAATACGTGCCCATGTGCCTTGCACATGAAATAAACTTTGAATACATATATACAAGAATATATAACATAAGAGGATATATGTACATGTCTTGTAAATATTTATGAAATACATGTAGGTAAAATACCCATAAGGAGAAAGCAAGGGAGTTAGAAGCAAGAGGGGGGGGGGGGTTAATGAGAGAAAGAAACAGAGGACGAGCGTGAAAGAGAGAGGAGGAAGAAAAGAGGAGAAGAGGAGAGAGAGGATAAGAAGCGAGAGCAAGAGAGGTGCAAAGAAAGAAACATAAATAAATTATGGCATATGTGTACAAGGAGAAGGAGAAAGAGGAACAAAGAAATATAACATAAATGTCTTTACACTGAATAAGGAAAAGAGAATAGAGGACAGAAAGTAAATCTTTTTCTTTTAAATGGTTAGAAAAGATAAAAACAGTATCAATATGAATAGCAACTAAAAGGAAGCTGTACACTTTATCCTGCATTCCAGCACATCTTAGTATCGCCAAGTGTGTTCATTTTCAAAATATACCAATCACAATATCCCATCATTTCCATCATTCAACAGCAAATTGGCCATTTCATTGCTGATGAAAATATAAAAAAAGAATATCTTGTTCACCTACATGAGCACCATCATTACATATCTTTAAAAAAAATAATACCCTTTTTCTATATCCATCAAACCATCTTATCACGCTCATCATCAAAATAAATTGACACTACATATATAGTAATTTACATAGCCGTTTCTGAGTCTCAGCAAATTATGGTCTTTTTAACCAGTCCACATATTTGAAGTGACATGGCTAAAATGCAAAACATATATACCGGTAGATACTATTTACTGAGTTCCATTTCTGAATGCCACATGCTACCAAATACTTGATCATCTAAACTGTGATGATGAGGTATGAAACAATGATACATTTAACTACTTATTGATAAAAAATAAAAACTTATCATATAATTGGTACAGATCATTGTTAAAATTATATCATTTTCAAATGGTTGTTTAATATTACAGGTAGGGTATTTTACAGACATTGCTTCCATTGTTGTAATTCAGTTTCAATAGCGCCATCTTTCGGTAAAGGCACACATAGAGTGATTTCCGGTTCCTGTACCCAAGCATTATCATGGGCACGTCAGGCAGTTGACGATGCATGGCTGTATACAAATTTGGACATAAATCTGAAGTGATGTCAGTAGAATACCCTGCCTGTTTAGAATTGTCCATCAAATTTTACAATCTTGATTTCAAGATGAAGCTCACAAAACATCATGTTAACACCATTAATCATCAATTCTCTTTCGTTACTATTGAGACTAGCGTCATTATAAATGTATGGCATTATGATTTCAGAGTGCACGTTATAGAGTGCACATAGTTTAATTTCACAATTGTTATCAGCCTGCAAAAAAAAATTGAGTTGTCGTGGAAGACTAATATTAGATACCCATAGTATGATTTGCATCACCAATAAACTACTATGGAAAAATATGTCAGTGCAACATAAACTCTAACTTTATAAAAATCTGTGTTTTGAAAATATTTTGAGTTATACTGAACTAGAGTTTGCATACATACGATACTTTATACATAACATTCTTGCAGTTGTTTGTTTAGTTAAATGAGTTGCATTTGCAAATCTTTACTATGTACTTCATGAAGACTTGTTACCCGAAACTTGCATAAATCTATTTCATTTTGAAATTTTAAAACTGAGATTTGGCTAGTAATAATGAGTACACATATGTGAGAATTTTTTTCCCAATAATAGTTATGCCTGCATCACTAGGTATTGTATTTAACTGTATTTTTAACATACTTAATTTCAGTAGCTGTCATGTCATTATGCACAGCTTGAGCATAAAAAAAATATCTCAAAATATGCATCTTAAATGAGGCTGTACATTATACATGTATGTGGCAGTGACTTTCTTGAAGGCTAAATCAACCGTAATGTGGTCCCAAAATCATGACCTCATTCTTGGCAGTGTACAAAAAAAAATCCACAATTTTATTTTTAGAAGAAAATATTCAAACCAGTAAACCTGTGCTATCGAAGCAGGTCAGTCGACTTGCCATGGGTAGATCCACAGTCAAACCGCTCCAGCAACTACCTGCCTCCAAACACCATCTTTTCCCCCACTACTTTGGCCCACTAAAGGAACCTGCTTTTAACCCTATGTTAACCGGGGGGGGGGGTCAATTTGACCCCCCCCCCCTGTAGAAATTCCGGGACTACTCCGTAACCGCGGCAGATATAAAATTGTCCTTTCATGACTTTTTACTTTCGAGTCATACGCATCTTTTAAAACGATTTTTTCGAAAATCGGACCTACGGTTACAAGGTCACATGACCTTTTGTCTTTGCATGTCAGCCCGAAAATCGCTCATTTTCGTGATTTGTGTACAAAACATATGTAAAAGTCATATTCAGTCTTGTTTGAAGTTTAGATGTTTGTTTTGGGGTCAAAATAGTTGAATTGTAGTTATAAATGAAATAAAACAACAAAAACAATAAAATACATAAGTTAAAAAACAATGAAATACATAAGAAATTATGAAAACAAGATATAACATAAGGAATAACCTGGCTCTTCCAATTTTTTGTGTTGTATTATTATTCCAAATGGTCTAATAAATATATGTAGTGAAAAAAGAATACGTAAACAAGAATAATCTATGATTTATGGGCAGAAATGTGAATTTGAAGACCTTATTTGCATAAATTACCATAAATATGCAAATGAGTGAATTTTTCAAAAATTTGAAATTACCATAGTATTCTATACACTTCACTTGACATGCATGCAAATTTTCACGGCGATCGGCGGTGAAACGGCCGAGATCTTTGGGGGGGGGGGGGGTCAAATTGACCCCCCCCCCCCCCCCCCAGTAAAAACCTGGTCTGAAATAGCCCAGTTAAAATAGGGTTAAAGGGAAATCCAACTACCTCTAAAAGAAAGCAGACTGATGAAATTTTGAATTAAATGTGACGTGAAATAAGAAAGTTATGAATTTTAAAAAGTTGTAATCTCTATACATATGGGCTCTTCAAATTGGCTGTATCCATAAAGTCACCGTGACGAAGTGCTACACCACTTTCCATTTGTTCAAACACAAAAAATTACTAGAATTTCAATTGTTCTAAAAGTGTATGGCTCAGGAGGGTCTATAATTCTCTTTAGAGGACTATACTTTATGCTATCCAAAGTATATTTTGAGTAGTGCCTCAAGGGAGAGGGCACCTACAAGAAGAATAAATGATAATTTTGTATGCAGCGAAGGGACAAGTTATCCACATCCTATGCCACAATCCACAGATTGAACTGCCAATTTGAGATTCGCATAGACTTAGTATTTCTATATTTCAAACATTCATAACTTTCTTATTTCAAACTTTCGCAATTCTGTTTTATCTTATTTTTCTGATATCATACATTAGACCTTTCAACAAGCATCAATATTTTTCTACAGGCATGTCTTGGTAACCTCATTGAGTGACGACTCTCTATGAAATGATCCCTGTAGAGAAAATTAAGTTCATAAACATGTGACCTTTGAACAGTCAACAAATCATCTAGTTGGAGGCATGTACTGGGTATAGGTCACTGACAGTCTACATAGTGATCCCTGCCAAGACTGAAAGAGTTTATCATCAACACTGTATGACTTCTTCATTGTCTAATTCTTTGGTCAGTTGCTGGACCTCTTGTTCCAGCTTCTTATTCTTCTGACACATCTGCACATAGTTGAGCTGGAGCTGCTTCTGGTAGGCGATGACCCGGTGCTTCTCCTCCTGCCAGATGCCATGCTCCTGGCGAAACTCTGCAGTTTGCTTCTCTTTGTCTTCATTCAAACACGATATCTCCTGCTTGAGGTTAGTGACCTCTTTCTGGAGTTGACCTATGACCTTGGGGTCGGTACGCTCAAACTTTGGTTTGTCCGGCACCGAGGGCACCATGGATAGCTTTGCAAGGTTCAGATGGCTCTCGGAGAGTGTCCTCACCCCAACAGCCACCCGACTTAGTTTGTCCTTGAGACGGGCGTTCTCTTCCTTCAGGGACTTGACGTGCAATTCAAGCTGCTGTTTGGCTGCTCGTGTCCCAGACAGTTCCCGGTCCAAGGAGCCTGACCTTCGTCCATTCTCAGGGATTTGTCTATGCACCCTGTCGAGTTTCACTTTCAAGGCGGTCGTTTCTGCATCACGCTCACCAAGTTTTTCCCTGATGTAGGTGATCTCTGCATGTCGTTGGTGGAGTTTCTCCTGGCAGGCTTTCAGCTCCGCTTCCTTCTTTTGAAGGATAGAGTTCGAGAGTGCCGGACCGGTGTTACGCTCCTGTGTCTGCAGCATCAATACTTGTTGCCTCGCTTGTTTGAGCTCCTGCTCTCGCTTCGCTAACTTTGCCTGCAATTCTAATCTATCCTGCTCGAGGCGTCTCTGGGCAGGGTTAGTCTTTTGATCAACACCGTTACGCTCACTCCCCTTCCCGCGCTCTCGTAACCTCCCCTGAAGTCTCTTAATGTCTACATCTTTCTCTGAGATTCTCTTCTGCAGCCGAGTAGACTCCATATCTTTCTCGGTCTGCAGTTGCTGCAATTTTTCCACTGTCCTACCAAGCTCTAGCTGAATCACATCCACTTTTTTTGAATTGGGAGCGCTCCCCTCCTTGCTTACTTTAGTTTTTTCAACTTTCTCTTCCTTCTCTTTCAGCGCAGAGGTCAACCTCTCATTGACCTCTTTCAAATACGCCACCTCGCATCTCTCCTGGGCGAGTTCCTGCTCTCTGGTTTTGACTAGCGCCCCCAACCTATCAATCTCATCTCCCTGGTTCTTCACCCTCAGCATCAAGCTGTCTCTTTGGTCCATTGTCTTCTTTACATCAGCCTTCACCTGTGACAACTCTGCTTCCTTCTTACTCAACAACTGCTGTTGGCTACCATTGGTCCTCTTTGTCACTTGCAACCTTGTCTTATCCAACTCGATTTGCAATCGCTTCACGTTCTCCTTCTCGTATTGGAGTTCTTCTTTGGAGCGCTTCACACCTTCCTCAAGACGCTTGATCTCGTATCGTTTGTTGGTGATTTCTTGCTGGCTTTCAGCTAATACTGACTGTTGTTCGTCCACCTTCTTGCCATTGTCTTTGAGTCTTGATAGCTCCTTCTGCAGGCCTTCAAGTCGCTGCTTCACTTGTTTCCTGTCCTGCTCTAGCCGGTAAATCTGTAAAGTATAGCAAATAGAATAAGAAAATAAATATTTTTGTTTCATCACTCAAAATGAATCTAGAATATGTCATTAAATCAGAACATGTTGCAGTCCAACAATAATAAGAAGTGATATTCATTCAAAATTCAAATAAGTCATTACATGCCTAGCAGAAGGACATTAGCCTGAGTATTCATAATAGTTCTGAAATGTTTAATGAATTTCATAACATATTGGGAATTTTAAAGCAAAATAAGAAGTAACATTTAGTGCCTTAAAAGATCATTTTTCCTTCAATTTGTTAATATACAGTGTATGTATATCTACTTGATTGATGAATAAAAGGAATAGTACCCTTAAAGTCAATAAAATACATGTATAATTACCTGACACCATCATTTAAAACTATATCATTTTAAAACACTCCGACATTTTCAATTAAGTCCTCAAGCATTTCAGGTCAAAAGCAATATGCCACTACAGGTCTCTAACCTCTGTGACCGTAATTAGAGCATTAATGCTATTTCCTGCCCATGTCCCACCTTATGCAATTCACTATCCCTGCAGGAAGCTACTACAGCTAATTATGAGCCCGTATGGCACCTCGCAAGCTCTGAGAAAGCATGCAAGATATGAGGTGATTAATGAATTGTCATCATGAAAAGCGGTTAAACCATTGCCTGTGGGAGTCGGTGGTTAGTGTATGAAGCATAGGGGAATACAGGAGTTTAGTAGTCATCAGGTTAATATGTGAGCATTATCTGGGAGAACACTGCGTATGAAACGTTAATACATTTGGGTTTGATATGAAGGGAGTACACGGTATATATATATTTTTAGTCTAACCTTTCTTTTTAACATTTTTTTTAAAAGTACATGTATCATCTTGAAACGGAGCTGAAAGATATTTTTTAGCCTTATTGTTAAAGGTACTATGTCCCATTTGCAGGCCAAAAAAATGAAAAAGTTAAATTCCAACTGCATTTGAAAGATAATACTAATTTAGAACTTCCCTAAAAAGGTGGGGCTTGAAAATGTCTTCAAGTGGGAAAATAACGACTATTAGTTGTCAAATCGACTTTAGGGCTATAGAGCCCAAAAGTAATAGTCTTGATTTTCAGACAATTGTACCGAATGGTCATACGTTTTATGCTGCGCCAAGATTCAATCAGTTTAATCTTGGCCATCACAAGAAGTGGGTTATTGATGTAGACAAATGCTCATGTACCCTTTACAACTCTTTTCATGTATGTTATTACCAAAGAAGAAAAAAAGCCAGTCAGTCACTCAATAGTGTCTGACAGTGAAGTCTAGCAAGTAAACGGGTTTCCTTGCATAATTTGAATATGAGGACACTGCTAACGTTTAAATTTCACAGATAGGACATACATGACATATTCATAATTCCTGCAAAGTTCTACAGCATTTGAGGTTGGCTGCAAAAGGGACATAGTACCTTTAAAAAGGAAGAATCATTGTCAATTTTTTACAGAAAACTTGTCAACAAAGTCAACAATCCCTTGTCTTTAAAAAAATACCTTTCACTGGGTCAGATACATGTACATGTAGAATCTTCTAGGCTTGTGATAACAAAAGGTAATTCAGGGCTATACAAATTCGAATTTGATCAAAAGTTAGAATTTCATGAGAAAAGTTACCAATACCAGTGATTTAATAGACCATATTCATGACTTATTTCACAATTCATGAACCATTTTTTCAACTTCAAGAAGCGTGACAGTCCGTTCTTTTAAATGAAAGATATTAGATACCATCACGACACAAAAATGTTGGGCTATTTAGAATACCTATAGTTATACCCGAAAAGAAGCACCAAAAAGAGTTCATCTATGGGCAAAGTATGACTAGAATATTCCTTCTAACTCTATTAGCCCTGACAGGCTAGGGAACCTTCTAAACATACACGTGAGGTGACAACTTACGGCAAATATTAAATAATCCAATTTCGATGGAAATTGGGTTTAATAACCAATAAGGAAAGGGGTCATAGAGTTCCTAATGAGAAATTACGCAAGCTTATCACTAAATGCATCGATATGAACAGCCAAGTCTCTGTGACTGTGGTTTCAGAGTTTTGTCAGTGATACAATAAATTAGTGCTGTAACATCACGGATATCTCCAATTCCGTTTAACCGCATGTCAAAACCGGACGGTTTTCGGTTAAACGATTTATTTATTTTTTTTAAATTTTTTTTTTAAAAAATCTTTTTTTTTTTTTTTTTTTTTTTTTTTTTTTTGGCCGTGTGAAAAAGCAGGAAGGTGATTTAACTGAAGGCGCCGATTTGTGCTTGTGAACTAGTCACAAATAATAGTAACAATGTCGTTTTAGAATAATGTGTAAGATCATTAAAGTAAATTAAAAACAGTAGAGGACCTAGGATAGAACCTTGTGGTACACCATGTGTTAAACTTGGATGAATATATATATTGAGATCTATCACAAAGATTACTTTCAAACCAAGATGACAGACAAATTGGAGTGTTGTTCTAGTTTCCAAGTGGTAAGTCATCACACCGATTACTGAGCTGGGAGACATTGCCAGGCATATTGCCAGGTGGAGGGGCATAAATCGAAACTTAAACAAAAAAACAAAAACAAAAAAAACGGGGAAAACGAAACCGTCCAATTGAAAACGGAATCCGCCATGGGCGGTCTGATACCGGACGGTTAAACGTTTGACTACAGCACTACAATAAATGCTCCAGCGAAAGTTTCTCCACGCTTTACACAGTCAAAGATACATGTTAAGTGTTAGGCCTAAAGGCATGATTGGGTTTGATGTTAGGTTTAGGGTTTAGTTTAGCTCTGGGTCCAGGGTTAATGGTGGGGATTCAGACAGTGCTGTGGTAGTTATGGGTGGTTTAATCACGTAACTGGGGAGTGTTTCACAAATCCTAAGATCGACTTTAAGTTAGACTTAAATATGACAGGCCATTCGTGCCACTGGTTGCTCTCACCATTGGTCTCTCAATTATTATCTTTAGATAACAAATAAGATGAATTAAATAGATGTGTGACCATGATTTGTACGTCCCTTGAAAGACCATTGCCGGTAAATGGTGAGAGCAAACACTGGCATGAATGGCCTGCCATAGTTAAGTCCAACTTAAGTCGATCTTAGTCTTTGTGAAAGACTCCCCTGGTAATGTCAAGGTTGAGGGTTCGAGCCCCAGGGTAGCACTTAGTGTATGTCTTTAGGAAAGGCATTTCATCTACACTGTTTGTCTCCACCCGGGTGTTGAATGGGTACCTTATAGGATGCCAAGGTCACTGTGAGTGGATAAGCATGTGCCCGCCCATAAAAAGATGACTGGCTAGAATACTCCCCAGTGGAGAGGATGGTGTTCATTGTAGTCGTGACTGAATCTAGCGATTTTGGTATTGATAATACTGTGAGTGCTTTAGTCAGTTACTGTAGAGCACTTTATGCAAATTAGAATTGATCAGAGGGCCTGAAAATCACCTAGAATGAGCTATTTTGTACACAAAAAAGCTTAAACTAAGGTCTGAAAATAACTCGCCAGGGCTTGAATTCAGGCTATTGCCTGAAAAATGGCATCCCTGTTTATTAAAATAAAAAAACAGCCATTATTAAACTAGAGTAGGGAATTGACGGCGAGCAAACGTCGCTGGAGCACGTGTTCTAGAATCCTTCTCTTACCTCTTGTTGTTGAGACCTCTGCTGGGAGAGCGAAGATTCCTTGTCCTGCTGAAGCTGGGTCTGGAGCCGATTGATGCGGCCCTCGTAGTCCCGCCGTTTCTCATCCTGGACCTGGAAGATGGTCTGCTCGTTGACCTCCATCGTGTCCCTCATGGTCACCAGCTGGTGCTTCATGTCCTGAAAGAATAATAATAATAATAATAATACTCAGTTTTTATATACGCTTATTACAATCACTAAGCGTTTCCGAACTTGGAGATTATTACCCCGGCTTTAGCTGTGCTGCCATTACAGCATTCTCTAGCATTTTAAAGAATTATTTCCTGCCAGGTACCCATTAACATCACCTGGGTTGAGTGTGGCAAATGTAGATCAATGTCTTGCCAAAGGATATTAGTGCCGCGGCGGGCCTCGGACCCCGGACCTTGTGATCGACAGTCCAGTGACTTTACCACTCAACCACAGCATATGATAGGATGGAATGGAGATGGGGAGAATGAAGGAGAAGAAAGAGAGGAGGAGAGAGGGCGAGGCAAGAAAGAAGAAGTGTAAGAGATAGGGAGAGGGGGAGAGAGAAAGGAGAAGAACAGAAAAGGCAAAGATAAAGAAATATACAAAAGAGGAAGAGAAGAAAGAAAAGAGGGGACAGAGAGGAGATAAATAGAGATAAATGGCTGAATGACAGGAAAACAGCCAGACACAGAGAGAAGGGAAGAATATGTGAAAGAGAATGCAGAGAAGAGGAAAGAAAGAATATCAGGTAAAGGATGGATGGAAGATAAAGATGAGGCACAGAGAAATGGAAGAGGGAGAAAATACCAAGATATTTACACAGATAGAAAGGGGGAAAAGAGTGGAATGAAACAAAACAAAACATAAATACATTAATCACAAATAAAATTAAAATACCTCTTTGCTGATCACAAAACCAAGTTGCAGCCTACAACTAAGTACCAAAGACCAAACAGTGCATCAAAAATGCTATGACACTCCCCTCTTTTACTTTGCACAAGGTATGAAACAACTGCACTACCACCCGCACTACCACCCGAGCTACAAATAGGCAAAACATTAGAGAGGATATAGGTCTGCAGTGCTTCGTGAGTCAGAGAGACAGAGAGCCAAACTCGGTGGGGTCTTGTAGGGAAGGAACAGCAGAGTTACTTGAAGTGATAATGCTGACAGCTGCCAGCAGCAATGTGGCAAGCATTAATTATGATCATGATGATGATACAAAATGTCACCATGGGGCGTTGATAAATGAAAAATGCTATGATCATTAACCTCCAGATTGATACTTAGCGACCCCACTTTCTGACATTTAAAAATTATCACTTGAGGTCTTATCATCGCTATCCAAAAGTATAGTTTAATCAGGCTATAACTATTTTTTTTACTAGGAATCCATATTTCGAATTCTAAGGTCTAGATCAGTACCGGTATGCATTGCCACATATCCAAATTTTGGTCGTTGATTGTTGTTGTTTTTTTTTTTGGGGGGGGGGGGGAGGTCTTCAATAACAATTTTGAGGCCCATGTGGTCATGTAATTTATGAGAGTATTTATTTTATTGTTAATGCCAGTGAATAGACATGTATACATTATTGATCTTCAAAATTAATTTGCAATTTTTGCTGAAAGATTTGAGCATCCAACAGTAAAATCTGATTTGTGATGTACAATGTATGCTCTTTTTATTACATATTTGAGGCACTTCTCTTTCTTTCAACGCATTTCCTGCTTTTAAGAATGCAATTTTTGATGCTGCATGACACATTTAGAGTAAAGGATAACAGTGAATATTCACATTTTGAACTACAATTCATAGCACAATTTAAAAAAAATTTTGTTTGTATATTCTTGTATGGCCTTGCAACAACAAAACAGAATTTCAAAAGTAAAATGATAGAAAATTGATGCAAAGACATTGCAAAATTTTGTAAGCAATACACAGCACAACAAAACAATTAAAAAACCACAGAAAAAAGGTGCTCCTAAGGCATAAATCATAAATTTTCAAAATGTACCAAACAGCAGAAACCATTCCAAGACAAATGTGCAAAAAATCCAATAATCGCCGTACCCCATGTGCGAGAGAGAATGAAAAAAAAAAAAAATTGGCAAACAATAGTTGTGCAGAAATGGAAGCAACACATATAAAATCTTCATATTTTTGTATACGAGCAAGTGTGTTGTGTTTCAGTTTGGACAAACTATGTCCTGTATCTTCCTTTGCTCATTGCTATGCTATTGCACATATTTTCCAAGAACTGTTCAGCAGTTTTTAATTGTTTATTTATTGGCAATCATGAACATTTGGTAGTATTACGATTTGATTTTGTCATTAAAAGAATACCGGTACTAATTTCCAATAAAATGGAAGATTCAATTGAACATTCAAATTTTACAAGTACTTGATAGTTGATCAAATACTGTTTGAATATGAACATGGTAAATAGACCAGTTTCTTGTTACCTCAAGGGAAAATGGCACCAAACATGCACAAACCTTTTACACACAAAGATGTCCTACTTAATTTATGCATTTTAACATTTAGAAGAATCACTTCCAAATTGATATAGGTGCTTCATAATACCATAAGGTAAACAGAGCATGGTACAATGGCCACAAACCTATGCAAATCTTTTCAAAATAGAGAGGTCCTATTTTGTGCATTTTAACATGTCAGAAGGATCACTAACAGAGTGATGGAGGTGCTTCATAATATCAGTCACCCCACCAAAACCAACTCAAAACTGACTCCAAACAGACCAATTCTTGGCCATTGCAGCTAGTTTGTTCGGTCTGTAGTCTGCCTGGTGTAGGTCTTGTTGGTGTGACAAAGGTATAAGAGTTTATCCTTCCCCTTTTCAAACGCCACCAGTGTTTAACAGAATTATCATAAAATAACTTAATGAGCACTTAATTTTAGCAACATTTTCCACCATTGATTTTTCAATCGGGCACAAAAAGAACATTTTTCTTTGTCCGTGCACACATTATATTTCTGAACAGGCTTATAATGATGAGCTTGCCATGTAGTAACATAGCAGGTGACCATAGCACCCCCATGTACATGTACACTGTATGTATGTGATGTGCATGATATGCTTAGAAGCTGTGAAAACAGTCCAAATGATGAAAAATAAACAAATTTAATGTGATCGTGAAGCAGTGAATTATTACGGCAAGAGCACAACAAATTGAAATAAAAATCACACAACTAACCTGATCATGCTTGCTCTATAAGGAAATCAACAACAGAAGACACAAATTTCTATTAGTTGAATGATGATTCTATCTCCATTTAAGCAAAGATGAGATACAAGTATTGAAATTATGAAGTAACAGTACACAAGCCAAAATAAAATGCCAATTATAAAATAAGATAATGGATGTACACTGTATGGCTTTGACTTGATGTCTACCTTCTGTAGGCAGTTAATTAGGATAATGAATGCTGTTATGTTGAGTGATGCCTGTGAAGTTGTTTCTATGGAAACGTACAGTTAACGTAATGAGTTTTTAATCCTACCTATGAAAAAAAATCATCCACAGATATAATTGCACATGTGTTGATGCCAACATAGTTGTTAACAGTTGTTTAATAAGAGCTCCTTTTTTTTAATTGGCAGAGGGCTGAATTTTCGGTTCACTTTAATGATCGAAGTACATGATTGGATAATCAAAAATTCTTTGACAACGGGGATGAAACCTAACAATAAGTACTGATTATCACACTGGCTATGTTTCTTTCATGCCATCTGTCTTTTTTTTTTCTCGCTGAAAATTGACGTAAACAAATTATACTACCGTAAGAGATTGAGTCACAAAAATATTTATCAAATTCACCTTTTCTTCCTGGACTGGTAACATGGTTGAAATCTTGTAGATAATACAAAGAATATAGTTTCCAAAGGAAGTGAGGGTAGAGGCTACTAATGCTTGCTGACTGTAAATTTGCTTTCCTCAAGTGTCAACAAAAAATGAATCTTTAATTGTCTTTGGTTGCAAATGTCTTGGGCCTCTGTTTCCTGCCCGTCTTAGTTGAAGATCTTTCACGAAAGGCCATTGGAGACATTCAGCATGTCCTCTGTGAGTCTATACAAGTCTATTAGTCATACCGTTATAAATAATCGACTGACTTACCGACTCTCGAATCAGATGAGCACGGATCATTTGATTGTTCCAAGGATTGCATAATGGCGTTTGAAGGTCTGATGTATTTATAATGGTGATTTGTATCGAGTGGGATATAAGGTTTCACTGAGAGGTATTATTGTTCAAGGGCTATCTACAGTGAACACATGGTCTAACATCGGTTCAGAGAAGTGAAAAGTGATGATTGACTGATGGTATGACTGTTAAAAAAGTAAATGTAAGGATATTTCTAAGAAAAGTGTGGATTTAATTGCCCTTTTTATACCTAATACTTACAAGGGTTAATATTATATTGTATGGTTCTTAAAAAAGGAAAAGGGAATGCCAGTTCTTAATGTTTCCAAACTTTTTAGGCATGACTTAATAATAACAGGGGACAAGTGCATAAAGCCCTCAAATTTCTATATTTAAACTTGAACACAGACCTTAAAATATCAATCCAGACCCCTGTGATAAGGTTAATGTTGAGTTATGTTCTTGCATTCAATTAAAATCTGTTTGAGACTTGACGGTAGATTGGGGAGTTGATGAAGAAATAAGTAAATATGTCTTGAAGTGATGATGATAGTGTGACTGCATTAAGAATTTCTGCAATAATGTACAGTTTATGATACAAGCCAAAAGTTCTTCTACAAAATAATGAGTCTTTGTAAAGATATTGTGGGCATTGTCTACATGGTTATAACTTTACCTGCACTTTATTTCTCAGGATCCTGTTCTCTTCTGCTAGATCAGATTCCTCAGGTACAGACGAAACCGAGACTGGAGCGTAGACATGTTCCTCCCCGTTGGTTCTCGGAGATGCTAGGTGAGGATGGGGGCTGTGCTGCTTGGTATCCTGCCCATGCGTGGCCTGTAGAGGGCGCTGTCCATCACCCGGGTACATGGAATGACTATGACTGCGGTGGCGTCCTGCGTTGCCGATCTTCCCGGGGACGACCGTCCCGCCGTGGTGGATGTTCGCCCAGCCACCGCGGTTGAGAAAGTTCAGAGATTGTGCCTGCTGGAGTTTCTGGTGCAGGGCGGAGCGCTGGGCGGCGTCCCCCTTGTGTGGGAGCGTCGACTGGTGGTGGTGGTGGCCGTTGGTGGTACCATGGTTGTTGTGGTGCACATTCATGCGGTACGGCTGCTGCATCGGCGTGATGTCCTGAAGAGACATGGTCTTGGTGGGCGGTTTCCCGAAGTGTTTCCCGGCCGAGAATCCATGATTGTTGTTGGTCATCAGGATATCAGGGGGGTGGGAGTATGTCGCCATGGTGTCCGATAGAGAAGGAGACTGGGAGGAGCTCTGCTTGTATGTCTCCGTGGGAGACGTGTTTGGAGATGCAAACCTGACAGCAATGGGTCTGATCAGCTTCTTTTCTTTTGTCTGAATTGGGAGAAATAAGAATTGAAATAATAAATATATTGAAGCTCCATTGTACTACTTGTAGCTACTTGCTCCCTCTATACAGAAAACAATGCCTAAGCGGTGCCCCTTGGTCAGCCATGATCCACTTTTTCCTTTGTTAATTGTGAGCTGAGTTGATGAGATAACCACCTGTCAGTGACCACGCTGGGTGGTCTTATCTCTCCTGGCCAAACTAGTACAGACGGGCTTTAAAAGTCTGGAACAAAATCTTACATGTGTTTGTTGGTTAACTTGTTTTATTATCTTACTGACTATTGTACATTTTTGACAGATAAAGTGCATGTCATATTAAATTTGTGATTCATATCTTTCAATACCGAAAGCTTCATGTCTTTGCATCTGCATGAAGTGGGATACAGTATTGTATGAAGGAAAGCAATTCACAAAGATTTAGCAAATGTGAGTTCTCATTAGGCATTTCCTCATCAGCTCAAGATTGCCAAATAGCCCGCTATTTCTGATTTGGGGAATAATCCAGAAGTTACAAATCGCGTCTTCATCAGCTCAAAACTCGACCTCAACACTTGAAACTCAAGCTCGAGAAATTAGTTCGAGATATTTTGCTCAGCGTTCGCGCATAGTGCGAAATCTTCGGGCTGGTGCAGACGCAACGGACAAAAAGCGGGATATTTGGCAAACTAGCCCAAGATGTCTTGGGATGATTATCTCGACCAAATATCCCACTAATTGCAATCTCGAGCTGATGAAGACAGGCCTATGTACTTTGAAAGGAGAGGCACATAGCTGCAAGCATGATACAATGTCCTTGCGACTTGACCACATTCAAAGTACACAGCTGTGCATGCTAACCTTAAATAGGTCATACCGCCCTTTACTGACTAACATCTCCTGATACATATAGTTCAATCCATTGCATTTTGACAAATATAAAGTCAAGGAACTTAAGGATCTACATTGACAAGGAAAACAGGATTTGATCTACTTGAATGTATTGATAAGGCAATATATATATATATATACACATATAATAATTTTAATTATTATTTTTGGTTTTTGTTGATGACTCAAACACTAAGATTTATTTGTAACATAGCGTACAAGTTGAAGAGAAACATTTACAATAGAATACAATAAAAACAGAAATGTCATATGAATGCGGAGACAGCTATGAAAGCCAAAGGCTTTTGATATTGATTGTAATATTGAGGGTACTTCACATTATTGTTTCTACATTTAAAAAATGTGTTTACTACAATTCATATGTTGAGAGGCATAAGGGCGTTAGCTCTGTATTAAAGTATATGAGCCAACGCCCTTCTAACCCTCAATAGACGAACGGTTTCCTGGTGATAAATCTCCAAACGATATATCAGTAAGTGAGAACACAACTGCACAGCTGTCTGTCAATCACAGCTAGGTCTTTCACCTTTTCCAGCTTTCCACTAATCGGGGTGAGCTTGGGGGGACCTATCGACTCGGTGTCGTCGTTGGGGGCAGAGGGCTCCTCGAAGACGGAACTGTTGCTGTTGGTGGTGGTGTCGCTGTAGCCACGGTAACCGCTGTCTGCCAGAAGACTGCTGGTGCTGCCCATGGTGCCATTGCAGCTGAGGTAGGTGGTGGGTGATTGGTCGGCCGATGATGGGGGGATGTGGATGAGAGAGGCTTGGTGGAGACCGTACGATGAGGAGGAGGAGGTTGTGACCATCTCACACGCTGCCATACTCAACACTCACCGCAGCCATCGATCAATGGTGTCTCTGAAGAGAAGAAAGAAAAAAAGGATGATAAGTTTTTTTTATTCATTGTAGGAAAACTTTTTTTTTCATGGGACAGATATGAGTTACATATGATGTATGAAATCAACTATGTAACATTGAATATTTGTGGATTTATGCAGTTCTTTCATTTATCAAGAGGAATAACAAAAGTTTCAAAAAGTTCAACTTGACAAAAAAACTAGAATACTTGTTATACTTCCCTTTAATACAATTGATGATGATGACATAAATATCATACAATAACCTGAGACAAATAGGGACTCTTTAATCTCTAACATCACATTCATTATATGAAATAACAAGAAAAGGATTATTAGATTAACAAATGTCACTAGCTTTATTATGATTTTCTTTGCATCTTTGGAAGACACTGATGGACAAGAGCAATGTTTCTTGTTTAGTCAATAATAATCAAAAAGAGTTTGAAAAACAAGTTTGACCAAGATGGACGTTTCCTGATCATCAAATACTTTCTCACACCTAAATTATTGACAAGCAGGAAAAATATTTGTGTGCGAATTCCTCACAAAGTGACAGTTCTTCAGTATTTTCCAATACATTTTTTTAAAAGCACGCTTTGTTGGCTGAGCACTGTGTACACAGCTAGATGGGCAACCATTGCCAAGCACGGCAGATCATGAAGTCATGTCTGGTAAACAATGAAAGTCGTCAAAGTCAGGAATGTTTGTCAGTGCTTCCCACCTAAAGATCATCCCATCACACATCAACAGGCATATACATGTATTTGCCCTTTGAAAAGATCATTGGAACTTGTATAAATTGACGACCAAGAACATGGATCACAATTCACAGTGGTATTTCTGAGCAATATGGTACAGAAATATCAAATTTTTGAAAGATGACTGGAAGATGCCAGAGTGGTTTCTTCACTTCAAAAGCAAGCAATCAGTATAGCAGATAATTAGGGATTGTTTATGCAACCGGCTACACAATCCCCTGCCCCCAAACCCATCCCTAAATAAAAATGGACAGACAAAGATAGTGAGAGCTGAAAATAAATGAGAAAATCATTTTTTAATAATTTGTTTAAATAATACAATACATCAGTTCTAATGTTAGAATTTTTTAAACATCAGAAATTTAATTCGAATCAAGAATATCATTGACTGAATTAAAAGATGAAAAGTCGAAAATTCAAGCTGTATCCAAATCATGATATAAGCCACCGAAATTGTTGGGATTATTAGTTTTGTAGTCATATAGTGAAACCTGTCTTCAGCAACAACTACTAAAAGACTGCCTGTCTTCCAGTATATACCGGTACACAGCTTTTACTGTTTCCCTTGGCCATTTTTTGTCCAGATTTGACAGTACATAATAAAACAAATTCTAAAAAGAGAGTGAAAAAGACCATGGTATCTTTTAAGTTTATGTACAGTATGAACTGTTTGTTTTTAAACAACCAAGGAACGGAACATGTCATAACATGAATACATTGTATCAAAATTTAAACGTAATAGTGGGTGATACATTATACCCATCATCTATCCAGGGTCCCCCAATCTTTCATACAAAGAGATAATCCCTGTAGTACAAGCCATCCAATTTACAAGCCATCCAATTTACGGAAAACCTGACCGAAAAGGAACAGTCAGAAAGAAGATGCTAAAAATGTCTCTGTGCAAGCAGACGAGATGGATTAGGGTGCCACAGGGAGGATTTAAAAGGTATCAAAACCTTCGGGGGCACCGCTTATAAAGAAGACCGATTCTTTGTCATGTCACTATGAATGGGCATGTAGTAAAAGGATTGTAGATCCACCTGTTTGAGAATAAGATTTACTATCCATCATGGAATACATGAAAGTACATGTACATCTGATCTGAATGTCCATAGCACTGGTTTTGTTTAATGTATGATGATCAATATAACCACTTAAAGATAAAGTTGAGTTCTGGTCATGCGATTGCATTGTGAAAGAAACGGTGTGGTATTGGTGTGTACTGCAAGGTTCTGGAATCATCAAAATGATAAGAAATTTGGCTTAGTCTTGATAAAGTTACAAGCACTGTACACATAAAGATGTATGGGACTACACAAACATGTGGCATAAAAATCTGTCCTAATTTTTATGATGTTACATGCCATATTTAGAATATTAAGGCATTTGAAGAGCCGTGCTTTTCAGGGAAAATTTTTTATCTGAAGTTCTTCCACACTTCCATAATAACAATGATAATGCTCACAAAATTATTTTTCACCTCTTCCCAGAACTCAACCTTCTCTTTAAATACTGTACATTGAGCTAGTAGTAGGCTCAATAATTGTAGTATTTGACAGTATGTAGCCTGCCAATATGATTTGTATAATTCAAATTGTAAGATGGAGGGGGGGGGGGTAGATACAATGCAACAAAAATCAGTATAAAAGGGAATTAGAAATTACATGTACCAATGGCACAGATTACTTTTTCAGGGCATTCTATTAGATAGATTTGCTGATAATGCAAGATACATTTTCTTGCAGTAATGTTTATTTCCTTTCCCCGTTTTTTAATTAAGAAAAGGATTATTGTATTTTGTAGGCCTAGTTGTTAGTTTAATTATCTATTTCTCTAACCAAAGTATTACCTGAAGGCCTATTTTCAAAACGTGAATGCTCTGAAAAAAATATGACCTCAAATCTTATGTATTCTGTCAAAAAAGATTTCTATTCCCCAAGATCGACGGATGACTGCGAAACCACAATTCTTTCATTGTGGTGTTATCATGGTCCGTTAGTTAGTAATACTGTCATAATGTACACTGTACGTGTCAATAGAGCTGGTAAAACCGCTTAAATGTAATCCCAAAATATTTCTATTTATACCGCAACCAATAATGGATTGGATTTTTTTATCCCCCCTTTGTGGCTCAGGTATACAGTACCTTGGCCAAGCCTTGACAAAAGCTTTTGATCCCATTCAGCCATTTATTTGCCAGACTTGCTGAGCTGTGTTTATTTACCTGTACCTGTGTTTCTGGACATATCAAGGGGATTTCCTTGAATATTGTTCAATCACAGGTATATTGGAATGACTATGATGGCTGCTATCATTTTCATGGAATCATGGCACATGATTAGCTTCAGAGGCTAACATAATTAAATTCCAAATTCATTTGAGGAAAAGAAAATTTGGTCAGGTCTGATTTTTAAAACATGTACGAATGCCAAGATTGCTGTTAAGTGTTAAAACCATTCAAACTGCATATTAATGTCTTTGTAATTTGTATTTAATATTATTCCTCCCATGTTTTAAATTTTGTAACAATTAGCACACATTACAAATACATATATCATTATATACAGACCTGTTCCTTCACAAATAAAACTTAGGTATTTCAACTAGAACTAGTAATTAACCAGGCTCTCAACAAGCACCAATGTTCATTTGATCATTTTCAATTTCATAAGAATCGCTGTAATTTCCTGCATCATATCTCCAACTATGTGGACAAAATTTTAGAATTAATCAAGTCATTTGGTAAAAAATAGGACTGAATCTCAAATAGCTATTTGCTCGAGATCTTTAGAACCACTTCAACTTTCAAGTTGTTGCCAACTTGACACTTATAAAGAGAAAAATGAAATTCCATGATTTTTCCCTCCAAATCTGATTCGGTATCTTGAGCAAATATAATTTCTTTTTGAGTGTTTGTTGAACAAATAATCACTGCATGTTATTGGTGTAGTCTCCTCAGTTCAGAAGGTAGTATCAAGTTTGCGTTTGTGTATAAAAAATTCTTATGTTGCTCAATAGAGCCCTTCTTACATTTGACAATTAAAAAAGTGACATTTTCATGCTGGGTGTCTATCTATTTTCTCTTTATATTAAAGAAAATTTTCATGAACCCCAATAAAGCATTTTACTTTTTACTGCTTTTTTTGCAGAAGAGACACATGAACTGCAATACTGCAATTTTATGATGATAATGACAATTGAGATAATTCATTGCAAAGTATATATGACAATATGTCGAAACAACTAACAAAACATTGACCAAAAATTTACTTATGTAAAATGATGTATAGTTGTTTCACAGAAAAAGAATAATGGTGGGGGCTTTTTGGATGGGAGGAGGGGGAGGAGGGGGGTCTAGTACCAAATTGAGAAAACAAAGTTTGAAGAAAAAGACTGCCATCAGGGGCTCAAACATGTTTGGGTTGTTACTCATCCAGTCTAGGGTCTACAGGAGTACAGTCATTATCAAGGTCTAGGGGTCATCTCAAAACCATTCTTGACCTTGTTTGTATCCAACAAGTAGATGTCAAAAGCCGGGGCAACAAATTGTGTTGAAGGGCAAGCTAAAAGGCCAAGGAAAATTGAATTCTACTTTAGCAGATTTTTTTTAATGAAGAGTGGACAGAGGGGTTTTACTTGATATTTGAAAATTTCCTGCACACAAAAACTGTTTTGTGTCAATTTATAAAATATGTTCATGATGAATTTTCCATGCATTACACAGGCCCATTAAAATGTGTACAATTTTTATTTTTTATCTTTTTTTGTTGTTGTGGGGGGGGGGTGATACTTATATTGTCTAGATCCTCACAGCCTTCTCATTTCAAAATTCATGCCTGGTCAAAAACATGTCAAACAATGGTTAATTGAAAATGAGGTGGGGGGGGGGGGCTTGAGCATGTTTGGTTTGTGACTCAATCAGTCTAGGGGTCATCCATCTCTAAAGCATTCTTGACCTTATTTGAATTACACAAGTAGACGTCAAAATCAGGAACAAAATGTGTTGAAGAGGCAAGCACTTGTTCAAGCACTTGTTTAGAGTCACTGGCAAAACACAAAAATCTCTTTCTTCTTGTTTTAAAAGAATTGGGAAATAAAATTGGTGACTTGCCTCCCTTAGAAATGTGTGAAAAAAGTTGCCCCAATTGGCATATATTCAGGCCATTTTTGTAATGGGTTTTATTGTCAGTGTAAAACTGACAATGTTAACATACATGTACCATGCTAAAAATGTTCC